TCTATTATCAACAACCTTTGATGGCATGAGTAGGAGTGTCTGAGGCTTGTATCATATAACCTACCAAGAGCCAAACATGTGAATGCTCTTTCAGAGCTTTTGTTGTTAAGAGAAGGACTGTTTAATCACACTGACTGGGTTTCAATTCCAGCCGCACCACTGATTGTGTAAGTTATGTAACTTCTCCATGCTTCTGTTTCTTTATCTGTAAACGGGAGTAATGTCTTCTCCAAAATGCTGCAGGAAAATTTAACTGAATGTCTGTACGTAAAGCACTTAGCACAGTGCCAGGCCTATGGAAAGGTGTTGATGGCTAAGTGGTACTTTTCCTCCTCCTCCTTCCCCTATTTCATCAAGACAGTAGGACTGGGCATAGTTTCACTGGGTAAAACAGAACGTTGGATAAGCCCTTTTTTGATTTATACCTAAACTATTAGCTCTACTTTTTTTTTTTTTTTTTTGAGACTCTGTCTCGCTCTGTCACCCAGGCTGGAGTGCAGTAGTGCAATCTCCACTCATTGCAACCTCCGCCTCCTGGGTTCAAGCGATTCTCCTGCTTCAGCCTCCTGAATAGCTGGGATTACAGTTGCGTGCCACTATGCCCGGCTAATTTTTGTATTTTTAGTAGAGATGGTGTTTCACCATGTTTGTCATACTGGTCTCGAACTCCTAACCTTGTGATCTGCCCTCCTTGGTGCTGGGATTACAGGTGTGAGCCACTGTGCCTGGCCAGCTCTACTTTAAAATAAACTTCAACATATCTCCTCCTGTAATTAGATAATAGAAAGGCAAATATCTTCTTCCTGTTGTCTGCAAGGAAGAGAATAGAATATTTTTTAAATCCTTAGGCATAATTAAGAATAAAACTTGGAGGTCATAGTGGTCACTACATCCCCCACTACGTACACATTACCATTCTTTCAGCACACTTGCCTCATGAAGACTATATGTATGAAGATACAAAACTGACTTCAATTTGGGAGTTAGTTTTTCTCATACCGTGAACCTCATCAGTCTTTCTCATACCTTGAACCTGCATCAGAATCACCTAAGGTATTTGTTAAAAAAAATAAATAAATAAAATTAGCTCTCTAATACCAGATTTTTTGAATAGAATTTCTGGGGATGAGACCTTGGAATATATATTTAAAATAAGCCACGTCGGTTATTGTTCTGTATAAGATCTTTAGAAACACTGACCTGCACACTCTCACCTCCTTGCCTGTACGATTTCCTGGATTGGAATAGTCGTTTCTCTTCTACATGCCTATAGAATTTCTTATACAATTTTCAAGGGCTACCTCTTCCTGGAAGCCTTTCCAGATTCTCCCAAATTGAAGTGAATTTTGTGTCTTCATTATTGCAGTCAGCCTTGTAGCGTTTTACTTGTTTTCCACCAGACAGCTCCTGGAGGGCAGCAGTTGCTGATTATCCTACCAAGCACCCCTAGTGCCAGAAAAACATGTTGCATATCATGGGCATTCAAAGAATATTTGTTGAATATTGTTGATCCTCAAATTGCCTTTTTCTGGCAAACCATCTCTTTTGTTCTTCACTAAAGAGTACAGATCTCTTCAGAGTAATATTATTAAGCTCAGGGTGATGGAAGTAAATAATAATAAACATTATCAGCCTCAGTTCCCAGAGCATTAGAATAGGGATTGGTGTCTCTGAATGGTGGCAAAGAGTTGTTTGTGATCCCTGTTTCTTTCTCATCCTCTTTGGATATTCTTCATAAGGCAAGTTGAACAAATCCCTCCAAACCCAAGTTAAATACATGATAATTACGAAAGAAAATGCTATTGTGGGTTTGTTTTACTTTCAGTAAACAGATTTGATCATTGATCTCACTAAAGAAGCAGTTTTTGTAATACACCTTCATGTTTGTTCTCCGGGACACTAATTGGGGTAAAGTCCATGCAGCTGTGCTTCCGTTGATGCCCTGGATGTACTTACTAGGAGAACTGTGAAGAGAAAAAGTGTAGAGATGAACTCCAGTGACTACTGGGATGGTTTCCCCAAAGATGCTCTGCACTGTCACTTGTATTTTAGGTACTTTGGTGGTTTTAAGTGACTTTTAATTCCATCTTATGTTTCTCCTTCAATCAGCTGATTGCCTGGATAGGGCATTGCCCAGATCGTTGGTGTTATAAGGTGATACGCATGTGGAGCTAGCCAATGTTGTACTATGCCGAAGGTGACAAGATATTGGATGTACTCAGAGGGTCTGGTTAGTGAGGACTAGAGGGAGATGTAGTAACTAAGGGAGATAGCACATTTGGGGAATTTCTCCAAATACTAAGTCACTGTTACATATACATTAGTCTATTTATTGGTTATTTGGCCTCACAACAGGCAGCAAGATTAAGCTGAGAAAACCACTAGATTTGGCAGGGGAAATCAGATTTTCAGTGAGTAGGTTAGGATTTATGACAGAGGTAGTGCTTATGAAGTGTGGTGCAAAGACTAGGTAGCCGTCATAGAGGAGGACTCCTTACAAATATTTTGAATACTTTGAATATTGCTCATCTTTGAATATTACTGTCTTTGGACTTCTAATGGTTGAGAAAGTAATAGAGTGGGTAGACCTCCAAGTGAACAGAATCGCATAGGATAAACCTACTCACCTAAGTGAGTAGATCAGGAAATTTTTAATTTTTAAACTTAGGCAGAGGAAGACCTTTTCCTCCCCATGTTGCACCAAAGCACCGAGGGCTATAAAGTGACCGAAGGTAATGAGAGAAGATCATGGAATTTTGTGAGAGGAGCTGACTGACTATTAGAGTACCTTTAGTGCAAGTTGGCTAGAAAATGGATGGGGTAATAAAGCTGCAGTAGGCTTGAGAAAGGGCGATATGCATGTTGGACCATGAGGAACAGACTTGGAAAGAAAAGAAAATGGTCTTTATATAAGCTGGATAAAGTCTTAATGTATTAAAACCCAGAGAGTACAGTCCCAGCACCCCGAAGAAGTTGCTTGTGCTGAGCCTTTGTTGTCAGACTCCCCTCCATCCCAATCTCTGGCAACCATTCCTATAGCTTTTCCTTTTCAGGGTGTCATAGAAGTGGAGTCACACATAGTGGGAAACACCGACTTCTTTCACTTAGTGTAATGCCTGCTGCATGTACTTTTAAAACGCAAAGAATCCTTGCCCCTGTTCTCCAACCCAAACAAATAAAACAGGGAGGAGTCTGAGAAGATGGATATACAGAAAGGTGACTTAGGAACTTACTGAGATGTAAACAGACATTTACCTCCTGAGGATTGTTTCATTTTCTAGTGAAATTAGGTGAGCTTCTTAGCTTTAAGTAAGTGGTGGAAAGGTTGGAGAGGAAGTGATCTTGACCACTTAAGTGTTTTCTTTTTCTTTCTTTTTTTTTGAGACAGAATCTTGCTCTATTGCCCAGGCTGGAGTACAGTGACACCATCTTGGCTCACTGTAGCCTCTGCCTCCCTGGTTCAAGCAATTCTCTTGCCTCAGCCTCCTGAGTAGCTGGGGTTACAGGTGTGTGCCACCACACTTAGCTAATTGTTTGTATTTTTAGTAGAAACGGGGTTTCACCATGTTGACCAGGCTGGTCTTGAACTCCTGACCTCTGGTGATCCACCTGCCTCAGCTTCCCAAAGTGCTGGGTTACAGACAGACGTGAGCCATCGCGCCCAGCCTAAGTGTTTTCTTTTCTTAAACTAGCCTCCTTTCCTTTTTGACCCTTTTCACTTCCCCTTTCTCCCCTGGTTTGGTGGTGGGAAAGATAAATACACACATACACACACGTAATCTTTTGTGATAGCCATTGTTGCCACATTTATAGAAGAGGAAATAAATGGAAGCTTCTGAAGAGGTTATAGACCTTGTCCACAGTCGTCTATCTAGAGAGAGAGAGAGGGTTGCAGCTGAGATTTCAGCATGGGTTTGCGTGTCCCCAAATCCTCACACTGAGTGCAGTTGCTCCCATTTTCAGTCATTTCCACAAATATTTTTTCAATACTATGTGACAGCTTGTGGCATCCAGGATTAAAGACAGTTGTACAGAGTCCTATAGAATTCCTTTATCTGTTTTTTTTTGGCTGCAGTAAATATGAGGCAGACTAGAAAAGGGATGAGGCTAGAGGACAGTGACGTTGTCTCCCTTAATGACTGTCACATCTGGAGGGTGAGCACAGCACCTAGTAGGAGCTCAATAAATATATGTTGAATTGATGACTGATATTAGTGAAAAGTGATAACTAACTAAGAGAGAGAACCAAATAGGAAAAGGATATAAAATGAAAACTGTAACTGTCTTGGACCATTTAGTGTTTGAATAAGCAAAAACCTCGGTAGTCCCCAGGCCGAGAAGAGCCTCTCAGTGTGCTCACTGATGCCCATTATGATGACTTGGGCCCACTAAGTGACCATCATGACCCAGGTCCTGTGCAGCAGGGAGGAAATCACTCATGAATGTGACATACAGTTTAAAAATAAAGAAGGTATCTAAAACATTTTAGAAAACTTTTCATTAAAAATGGTTTTTTCTCCCTTAAAGTGTGCAAAAGGGCTAAACTTCCTTGTCTTGGAAAAATCAGATATTGGAGTAGCTCTTTCTTTAATGATACTGGATAAAGGGCGATAATACATCATATAATTTGTTTTCTTTTCCCTAATCAGTTGTAGCATTAAAATTTCATGCCAGATGAATCTTTAAAAAATTCAAATTATATTCTTTGGAAGATACCTTATAAAAAAACTGTATATAGTATACAGCATATAACCATCTATAGTACTGTAACAAGTGAAGAGTTTACATAAAACAATCTTTTTTGAGCAGTGTCATCTGAGAGGATTATGATGTGTTGAAATAATTCATGTTTGGAGTATCATTTAGCTTTTTATAAGGAAAAAAATGGGGAAATTATAGGAAACAATTGAAATGATTTAAATTTCATTATTCAACAGCATCGATGCGCTACTTTCTTGTTTCAAGAATGTATCTATTAACAGTGATATTTTGCTTTACAGCTTTTCTGGGAGAAGAGGCTACAAGGACTTAGTGCATCAGATGTAACAGAACAAATTATAAAAACCATGGAACTACCCAAAGGTCTTCAAGGTATTATCTAAGTTCAGTTGAGCAGACATTTATTAAGTACCTACTGCATGCCAGGCACTTTGTCAGCTGCTGTGGCTTCAGCAATGACTGACAGGAGGTCTTTGTTTTGGAAGGTCGTATGACTTGCTGGATGACGTACCTCTTGTGTTTTTGTAAACCCAGGCAGAATGTACATGAAAAACTTGTATGTTGCAGAGATGCTTCAGTGTAGTATATTATCTTAGATTTTTCTCTGTGTAAAAATTTTGGCTTTAGGTTAGGTTCATCATAGAAGTCAACTCGTACTGCTTTTAGTGCTAGACGCAGATGAGTAACAGAATTTCTTAAGCTTCCTACTTATAGCAGTATCTGTTCCTACCACCTACTCTTTCTCTCATCCTCTTACCAAAAGGATAACTAACAGCTCTCCTTCTGCCCCTCCCTCCACAAACTGGTGCTCTAAGTAGCAGTGGGAACAGATGCACTTTGGTCCAGCAACAGCAGCCAGTGAGATCTGGGGTGCAAAACTCAGTGGCTGGTCTACCTTTCATATCATATGAGAACTCCAAGTTCTAGAGAAGCATTGTTTTTCAAGTATTAAAACTTTGCCATCTAAAGCTTGATATATTGTGGATTGCTCAAAAATCCTCATAATTCATGGTTAAATTACTGCCTTATGCTTTTATTTCTTGGAAATGTTGGCTTTAACTAGTTAAACTGGTTTAGGACTTTAAGGATTACCTATAAATGTGACCATGGTGCCAGTATCTTACAGGTAATCAAGGTGTGCAGTTATGAATTCTCTCGTTTTGGATATTTTGTTAGGTTTTTGAAAAAAGCTGTTAAAGCCACAGGTACAGCTTGCATTGACTTTCTTTGAAGTCCTGAGACAAAGAAGATAATTGTTGAGATATTGCTGAAGATTCATGTTAAAAGCCACAAGGAGAAACTATACCAGTACTCTAGGAATACATTAGAAGGGATGCTAGAGTATACTCGTTCACAAGGTCTTACCTCATTAAAATAATTAACATTGCTTGAGGTAATATAGCCAACTTTTAAAAAGTTTAGTACCTTGGAAAATGGCATTTTAAAGTTCAGTAAAGTATTATTAAAATGCTCAGCTGTAAGATGATAGCAAAAATGAGAATTTTTTTTAAGTAAGAAAAAATGCTCACCTATTTTGTTACTATTTCTGTAATTTGAATTCTTTGGTGTATCACATCTATTAAGTAGATATTATCTTTTGCTGCTTTGTCCTATGTCAATTTTACATATGTGATCCCAAATGAATATAAAAGTATCAGTTGTTTTAGGTCACATAAAGTTTGCTCAGCACATTAAGACATTTCCTTTAACTAGTACTTATTTCTCATTGCAGGAGTTGGTCCAGGTAGCAACGACGAGACCCTTTTGTCTGCTGTTGCCAGTGCTTTGCACACAAGCTCTGCGCCAATCACAGGGCAAGTCTCCGCTGCTGTGGAAAAGAACCCCGCTGTTTGGCTTAACACATCTCAACCCCTCTGCAAAGCTTTTATCGTCACAGATGAAGACATTAGGTAAAGCAGTTTAACATGACTTTTAAATCTTGGGTTTTTGGGTTTTTACATTCAGGTATATTTTATATTGTTCATTAGGTTCAGTGTGGCATGTCCAATAAGTGATATATCACCCAGAAAGTGATACTTTTTTTTTTTAACAGAGTTTTTCAGAAACTGATGGAAGGTGAAAAAAGACTATTATAACAAGCATATGCTTGAAGGAGGTATAAATGCTGCATGCCAGGGCTATCATCATGGTCATGTCCAAAGGACAAGTACCAGATCAGTTATATTCCCTGTGCATCATTTTTGCAATGTCTTTTGAAATTTGGGATTCTTACTTTCTACTGTAAAGAACCTCTATCTGCCAGGCATAGTGGCTCATGCCTATAATCCTAGCACTTTGGAAGACTGAGGTGGAAGGATCGCTTGAGTCCAGTAGTTTGAGACCAGCCTGGGCAACTTAGTGAGACCCCATCTCCACAAAAAATAAAAAAAAATTAGCCAAGCATGGTAGTGTGTAACTGTAGTCCCAGTTACTTGGGAGACTGAGGTGGAAGGACTGCTTGAGCATGGGAGGTCGAGGCTGTGGTGAGCTATGGTCACATCACTGCACTCCAGCCATGGCAGCAGAGCTAGATCCTGTCTCAGAAAAATGAAAATAAAATAAAGAACTCCGTTCACTCAGTCATTCCTTTTCTGATTGCTTCCTTCATTAGTTTGTCTGGAAACAAATCTCACTTTAAATCAGATGATAGTGGTGATGTTTTTAAGCTCACTTGTTACACAGTAGAGCAATAAGACTAACAAGTAAGAAAGAAGAAGCCACAGGTAAAGCAGTAAAACAGAGCCAGGAATGAGACAAGACACAGATGATGTCTACTGACATCTTTCACTCTTTCTAAGGCTGGCTCACAAGTTAGGGTTTCAGCAGCAAATGGTAAAAGGAAAACATCCAGCTCAGATTGATACAATCCAGAAAGTAGAAGCAAACCATTGCACAGGAAAAGCAAAATCACTCCAGTTAGTAAGACCACAGAGCAATTCTTATATGGGTTTTTTTGACCTCAATATCATTGTGTTATGGTGATACTGTAGTATATTGCATATCCTTTAAAAAATATGACCTTGTATATACATCACTATTTCTGTCTTCTGAATGTAAATCATTTTTATTGGAGTATTATTCCTAGACAAAACCAGCAGATGGCACTTGTGAATCATCTAATTTTAAAATGCTTTATATTTATATATATTTTTTAATCCATACAAAGTTGACATGAAAATGTTTTTAAATGGATAAGTCTAGCTAGATTTATAATGGGAAAGCCCTCCTTGGGTTTTAATTATTTTGCAAAGATAAAAAGTAGTGCAGAGTTGTATTCATATGCCTTGATAGCATATGAATATGAATAAGTTTCTTAAAACCTTTATTTTTTAAGAAAACAAAATAAAATGTAAAATCAAGAAAAGGAATCAACTTGCTCATTAGATTGTTCTTACCCTTGAGGAAGAAAATTATTCCAAAGAAAAGTTCTTTTCCATCTTGGAATGAATACTGAATTAATCAGCAGGGATTCTACTAGGTCCTTATGGGTGTTGACAGAGGTTCTCTGAGTTATATCACAGGAATACTGATGGCTTCAACATCAGATCTTTTGATAATTGAGGAAACTATTTCAAAGCCAATTCTGGATGATTTCCTTTTCGGGCAAATTTGTCTAACAAATTGCTCATTTGATTTAATTGTCATGACAGAAATTTGGAAGCAAACGCTCCTTATTAAATTTAGGACATGTTCAAAATAAATTACTGCAAATGGAACTGTTACTCTTTATCTAATTGTGTATCCAATATTCTGTCTACATTAAACCTCCAGCTGAAGAGCCCAGCAAGATACATCTCAAGTATTTTCAGCATATTTGATAATATTTGCATTGATGGGTACTTTCATTTTCTAATACTTTGTAACAGATTCTCACAAACTTTGCAGCTTAAAACAACACCCATTTATTAGCTTGAAGATCCGTGGGATCAGAAGTCTGGGCCTGGCGTGACTGGGTTCTGTGTTTGGGTCTTACATGTGTCACTAGACTGTGTTCCCTTCTGAAGCTTAGGGCTCTCTTTCAAGCTCATATGGTGGTTGCAGAATTCATGCCTTGTGTTTTAGGGCTGAGGCCCCTGTTCTCTTGTTGGCTATGGGATGGTGGCTCTCCCAGCTCCTGGAAGCTGCCTGCAGTTCCTTGTCTCACTGCTCTTCCATGTACCTACCCCTTCATGCTTCCTTCAGGAAGAGCCCAGCTCCACTAAGGGGTCTATTAGGTCAGGCTCACTACAATAATTTCTCTCTTGATTGACTAAAAATCAGCTGATTTGTAACCTGAGAGAATTATATAAGGAGTGCACAGGGGTGATGGTGGGGAAGGGGTACTGTTGGGGATCATCTTAGAATTCTGCCTACAGCAATGGGCAATTGATTAAATTTCAGCTTTCACAAATGTGGAAAGTAATGCTCAAGATAGAAAAAAATCAATGGCAAATGTTTAAGATAAAAATTCTCCATCAAAATTACTGCAGATTGTGCCATTTGTTCCATTTTCCCCATCTTCCTAATGAGGTTACTGCTAGGACAGCTGTGCAGATCCTTGTACTCTGTTGTTAGTGAGAGACTGCCAGTGAAACCGTTATGTCATTTGTCATAAACTTTGGGTCACTGACCCAGAGGTGAGACTAACTGCCCCATTACATGAAAATCTGTTGAACACCAGTTTCTTTTAATATCACAGAGGCTATAGAGCTAAGACTGACCCAATGACAGCTTCTCTCTTTTTGAAAATTCATTTAATAAGTGGAAGTCTATACCTTTTAATTCTTTGTGTTGTTTCAGAGTTTAATAAAGATATCCAACATTTTTGTGGGATGTAGTACATATATGTCACCTTCACTACCTTAGATATAGTCTTATTTGGTCAAAGGGGTGTGATCTTGAGTAGACTGAATATAACTTGGCAACTGGTTGAGCCCCTGTGGAGTGAATACTCAGGGACCCTTAGTACAATCTTCATAGCATTTCTGCTCTACCCTTCTGTTGCCCCAGGTCTGTGAAGTAATATGATCTGTTTCCTCAATTATTGGTAGAGAAAATTACTTTTATTTTCCAGTAGAACTCTTGGTATATTCCTTGTTGCATCTTCATCTCTCACTCTGCATCTTTCCTTATCTCCTTTCTTCCTGTCTCAGGAGGTTTGTCCTGTTTTCTATTCTGCTGACCCTCCCTCCTCTGTTTTGCTCTGTTCTTGTTCTCACTGGAATCTTTATCCTACTAGTCTTCTCTCTCCTCTTATCTTTCTTCAACCATTGCCTCTCTGCTTGGTTCTGGATGTCAATTTCTATTTACCCTGCTTTGCTTGCTAGACATGTTTTGGGAATTTCTCTCTTACCCTCTGGGGGAGCTACTTGTTTTTTTTTTTTTTTTTTTTTTCTTACTTTATAAAGATTAAGTATATACGGATACCCTTTCTTCCTGTGCTTTGTTCTTCATCTGATGGTTCAGACCTTTCTTAATGACTTGGAGTTATTAGCCATCACTTTTGAGGTTCCCTTGTAATCACCGAAACACAGATTACAAAGAGAACATGAGAACACATGTTCTTAAGCAACTCTCTCTCTCAGTTGAAGAGAAGCTTTTCAGTCTCTGTCCTCCATGTGCAGGATCATGTGGTCGTGGCTCCTTCATGGTGACCTGTTGCCTACAGACCTGGGAACCCAGGAGAGAGCTCTCTCCTAACTAACCTAGCCACGGATTGTCAGTCGAATCCCAGCTTATCATGTCTGCTTCCTCCATCTTTCTCAGTGCTTCCATGAACAAGTCACTTTCCTTCATTATTTATGCTCCCTCCATGTTTTATTCCTACTTCTAAGTTATTTCTAATTGTCTTTATAGGAATAAGCCCAAATCTTGACACAGTTGACATTTTCAAAGTTGAAGGAAAGGTTACTGACGTCAGTCTACTCTTTCTAGAGTTTCACGTGTGCCTGTGTGAACATTCCTCTTTTTGGCAAGGCTCACTGGTGAGATTTGATTTGTGTGTAGAAGCAACCTCTGTAAAATCTGAAAACGCAGTATATTCTTCCGAGGAATTTAATGGTTTTGAAGTAAGGATGATCTTCTATAGCAGCTTCATATTGTTATTATTTGCCAAATTCTCAGTGCGTTTTAATTGTTTTTAAAAAGGAAACAGGAAGAGCGAGTACAGCAAGTACGCAAAAAATTGGAAGAAGCACTGATGGCAGACATCTTGTCTCGAGCTGCTGATACAGAAGAGATGGATATTGAAATGGACAGTGGAGATGAAGCCTAAGAATATGATCAGGTAAACTGACACCAGTGAGAGTAACTCAAAACTTAGATGTTATGTTTTCTTGGCCGGGCACACTGGCTCCTGCCTGTAATCCCAACACTTCGGGTGGCTGAGGCAGATGATTGAACCCAGTAGTTCGAGACCAGCTTGAGCAACGTGGCAAAACCCCATCTCTACTCAAAATACAAAAAATAACTGGGTGTAGTGTCATGTGCCTGTGGTCCCAGCTATTCAGGAGGCTGAGGTGGGAGAATCACTTGAGTCTGGGAGGCAGAAGTTGCAGTGAGCCAAAATCATGCCACTGTTCTCCAACTTGGGTAACAGAGTGAGACCCCATATCAGAAAAAAAAAAAAAAAACAACTATGTCATATTTTCCTGTTATTTTCCCTTTATGGGCTCCTCAGCAGTGAATGAAAAAGCTACTCCTCTGTTAGGGTCATGCATGTGCTGTTGTTTGATTCTTCTCGCTGGATTTAAGGACCATATAAGTTTATTGCATCCATTTGTTCGCATTCTGGGAGGACACTGGTTCCCCTGCAGTCACTTGCAAGGGATCTAGTCTCCTTTATTAAAGCCAGGTGGAAAACCTGTAAGGTGTCGCTAGAGAAGAGCAGCAGCAGAAGAAGCAGACTTGGTCAGGTAGGAAGGAGTAGCCCCAGGAAAGGAAGGTGGTTGTCATCTCCATCACAGTAGCCTCCCGGGAAATACTGCTTCCTCTTTAAAATTATGGTGGTGAAGTAGGCAAAATCTCTCCCTTTTTCTAGGTTCTCCCTAGCACAAATTTGATGCAGGGAGAACAAGAAAGTTACTGAAAAATATAATAAATACTTTATCTTAAAAAATACAGATTTTAGGCTGGGCACAGTTGGCTCACGCATGTAATCCCAGCACCCTGGGAGGCCAATGTGGGTGGATCACGAGGTCAGGAGTTTGAGACCAGTCTGGTCCAACATAGTGAGACCCTGTGTACTTCTTAATTATGAAAATACAAACAATTAGCTGGGTGTGGGGGTATGCACCTTTAATCCCAGCTACTCCAGAGGCTGAAGCAGGAGAATCGCTTGAACCCAGGAGGTGGAGGTTGTGAGCCAAGATCAAACCACTACACTCAAGCCTGGGTGATGGAGTAAGACTGACTCAAACAGCAACAACACAAATACACATTTTGATCTTATCTCAAACTCACATTCCAGGCTCATAGCTCTGTGCTGTGGGCATACATTGTGTTCAGAGGGGCACCTGCTGCTCTCCAAGGCTTCCTGTGGGCTCTTGCTTCCCAGCTTCCATCCTGCTTTGTTTTTGCAGGCCTTGTCTTCCTTTTTGCACCCCAGAACCGATTATTTATTAGTTTCCTTTGAAGCCAAAACAGATGGAGGGATGGGGGTGCTAACATGATGTCAAGTCAACAAAGCCTCTCTGAGAAAGTGACATTTATGTTGAGCCTGAAAGATACATAGACGTGAGTCAAGGGAGGTTTGGGTAAAAGTGTTTTCATTAGAAGGAACAGCAAGGAGAAACTTGGTTTCTTTAAGGAATGAAGAAAATATCGTGTGTGGTTGGAATGTAGTATGTCTGGGGAGGGGTGGGGGGAAGGTATGGGCGGTGAGCCTAGTCACGTAGGAACGGTGGATTGTTAGGGAGATGGATGACTGCTTGAGACTGATCCAGAAAATTAGTAAGAATCACTGAAGAGTCAGTAGCATGATCAGATTTGCTTCTTTACAAGAGCCCTGTGGCTGCTGCATGAATAAAAGGATTGGAGTAGGGGAAGCTTGGAAGCAAGGAGACCAGTTGGGATGTTGCTGTGGTAGTATCGCAAGAGATGATGGTGGCTTTAGGAGGAGGACATGCTGACGGGTTGGTAGAAAAAGAAGAGATGGGAGATGGGTAGATCTGAGATATTATCTAGAGACGGAATCACATGACCAGGTGACAGACTGGAAGTGAGGGTGAGAGAGTGGCCAGGATGCCTCAGGGTTTTCATTTGAGCTGGGTGGGAGGGAATTCTGTTTGGTAGGGGAACAGGCTAAGGGTAGGGATTGCAGGGAGGGTGAGTTTAATTGTTAACACTTCCATGAGTGCCTTTGTCTTAATCAAGGAGTGGCTCATGCCACAGCAATACCAAAATCCAGTAATAAATATAATATCTTACATTTACATGTCTACTCATGGCAGCACTGCTGGGTCACAGTTTCCTGACCATACAGAATCATTTCAGGCTAGGCGTGGGGGCTCACACCTGTAATCCCAGAACTTTGGGAGGATGAGGTGGGTGGATTTCCTGAGGTTGGGAGTTTGAGACCAGCCTAGCCAACTTGTTGAAACCCCGCCTCTACTAAAAATATTAAAATTAGCTGGGCATGGTGGCAGGCACCTGTAATCCCAGCTACTCAGGAGGCTGAGGCAGGAGAATCGCTTGAACCCAGGAAGCAGAGGTTACAGTGAGCCAAGATCACACCATTGCACCACAGTCTGGGTGACAGGAGCAAAACTCCATCTCAAAAAAAAAGGAAAGAATCATTTCAATTCAGTTCGGTGCTATTCTATTTTAGCTCTTTTTCTCCTCCCTTGTTGAAGACAGGAGGGTGCTGTGTTATTACTTGGATTTTGTTTTCCAGGCTGGCAAGGATGTGTTTATGGGCTTTGATGAGTATACTTAATATGCTGAAAGTCTTTCAGAGAGAAGTCTGAAGTGTGTTTCTACTGTCCACGGCTCCAGCCATGCCGTCTCTGGAGCACAGAGGGGATCTGGATCTTCCCCGATGCAGCTTCTGCACCATTGCTTCACAGTGGACTCTCAGAAAGCCCTTCTCTTCTATCGGAACTTTCTGGTTTTCTTTCAGACTTTTCTCATGAAATCACTTTTTCAGATAATCAAGGGTCACTTAACTGAGGTTTTACTAGACTTTTGCTTCCTTTACAGATTATTTTGCAGATTGGCATCAGGCTATACCCTTGTTTATGTGAGCAAGCCTGTGTTGTAGGCAGTGGCACTATACTTATATAGAAGTTGGCAGCTGCTCATTGCCTTGCACAAATGTGGATAATAGTAGTAACAACTAATGTTGAATGACTAGAATTTTAATCAGTTCTTTAAAATAGCCATTATTTTGGCATGTTAGGTAGGAAGAGATTTAAATTATGTATGTCATCTTCTAAGCTTGAGAATGGCATTATTAGACCAAGCTATTAGACTTGTAGATTGGGGAAGATTTAGATGTACTTCTTAATCATGAAAATTACAGCTACCTTACTCAGATAACCCCATATATACCTAAAAGGTTTAATAAACTAGATCATGACCACGTGATTTAATCAGCTGTCTATAATAACCTGTGGCATAGGTAGGACTTAATTGGCAAAGGATGGGATGTGGCCATCTTCACAGCTCATAAGAGATAACCAAGGTCCGTTCAGTTCTGCCAGCCTCATCATGCCTCAGCTCTTTCAGTTCCTCCTTATTAGTAAGGTGGATGTTTATTCATTTATTTGTTTGGTTAGTTAAATAACAGGTTGCAATTTACAGTGTTACTTAAATTTTACAATCCTAGAGAAGTGCCAGGTTATTAGACAGATATTTTAGGAGTGATTACAAAAAGAAGATGACTAAAAACAAAGGTGTGAAAATGTTTAGCTATCCATGAGATAGCATATCAAAAATATTTCCATTTGCAGTCACACAGTGCCATTTCACCCAGACTAAACGGATAGGAAGACTCGGTGCATACCTGTCATCTGTAAATGCTCTCATGTAAACGAAATTATTTCTACTCTCTCATGAGTAGAAATTTTTCTACATTTTCTCAAAATATGTTTGGATTGGGATGTATCTATCCTGCTTTTTCATTTGTATGACCTTTGAATTCTCTTTTTATGCTGAAGTGGTTAATTGTAGATAGAAAATGTTGCATAAACATATAAAAGAACACATGTGATTTCTTTGGAAAATGAACAGGATAGTAAAGGTTATCATCAAAATAAAACACTTAAAACAGTGAGGGGATATGCTGAGTACTTTTTATTTATGAAGTGCTATAACTAAATGCTCACCAAGGCTGTGAAAACATGATTCTAAGTAGAATTCATTCTCTAATTCTTTTTCAAGTATTGCTGGCCTCTCACCTGATAAATCACTGGATTACTTAAGTTTGTTCTTTTTTTTTTTTTTTTAACAGGTAACTTCCGACCGACTTTCCCCAAGAGAAAATTCCTAGAAATTGAACAAAAATGTTTCCACTGGCTTTTGCCTGTAAGAAAAAAATGTACCCGAGCACATAGAGCTTTTTAATAGCACTAACCAATGCCTTTTTAGATGTATTTTTGATGTATATATCTATTATTCAAAAAAATCATGTTTATTTTGAGTCCTAGGACTTAAAATTAGTGTTTTGTAATATCAAGCAGGACCCTAAGATGAAGCTGAGCTTTTGATGCCAGGTGCAATCTACTGGAAATGTAGCACTTACATAAAATATTTGTTTCCCCCACAGTTTTAATATGAACAGATCAGGAATTCTAAATAAATTTCCCAGTTAAAGATTATTGTGACTTCACTGTATATAAACATATTTTTATACTTTATTGAAAGGGGACACCTGTACATTCTTCCATCATTACTGTAAAGACAAATAAATGATTATATTCACAGACTGATTGGAATTCTTTTTGTTAAAGAGCACACACAATAAAGAGCCCCTCATTTACCTTCCTGATTTACATTCAACTCTGATCCCTGGGCCTTAGGTTTGAAATGGAGGTGGTGGAAGGTAGTGCATACATTTGCAGTATGAACTATTGCCTCTGGACATTGTGAGAATTGTGCTTTCACCAGAATTTCTAAGAATTGCTGCGAAATACCATCTAGCATGTGTCATTTTTTTTTCTTGCCTGTGACTCAGACTTTTGATAGTTCTGTAAGAATAAGGCCTTTTCTAACCTCGGGCATGAATTAGATTCACAAGTACCCTTCAGGTGTTACTAGAAGTTGTCCATGTTTATTGGTTTTTAAAGAATGTTTGGCACTCAGTAACGTCCACTAGCTTACTGAATTAACAGGTGCAGGTCAGACTCCCGGCTATAATGAGAGGCAGCTTCTAGGCAGAGTTGCTTAATGAAAGGGTTTGTAATACTTTACAAACCATTACCTGTACCTTGCCTGGCTTCCAAAATATTAACATTATTTTTCTGTTGAAATTCATGAGTTTAACTTTCATTACCATTTGAATTTATTGATATTTAATTATAAACACTAACATTACTTATTAAATGAGTTCTAAAATCGAAACATAATCTGATACCAAGGAAGGGAGGGAGTGGTTATAAGCAAATCAAAACAAATTTTGAGAGATAGAGCAAAGTAGAATTATTCTATAAAAAAGGTGTATTTATTTCTTCTTAACTCTTGAGTTCTTTTAAAATTAGACCCTAAATGATGCAGTCAGGAGTGTGGACAGTTCCACATGAGTGTCACCTGTACGTTTTATTACCACTACCTCCAGTTCCCAAGGCAGGGAAGAAGAGTGGAATAGTCAAAGCAATATGAGTGGCTAGGTGTGGGCTGCTGTTTTTTTGGGACTTTTATGCCAAACTACGTAAATACTTTTTGGAATTTCTGATTTACACTCAACTTTGATCCCTGGGCCCTAGGGCCATTAGTTAACTTGGAGAAGTCCTGCTGATGGATGGGCAGGGAAGCTTGTGGATTCTGGGAGGCCGATTGGTGGAGGATGCCTGCCCTGGCGCCATCAAATTCTCCCAGTTGGGGTGGGGTGAGGAGTCACGGTGATTTCTTTTTAAAAAGCCAGTATGACTAGTGAGAATGGATGTCCAAGGACTTTTCTCTTCCTCCCCCAAGTCCATGATTCTTTATTTGTGATCAGGGTTGGGAGCTTCACCTTGGTGATCATATATTCTTTTTACAAACCAATCCAACCAAGATATATGTGCTTTTATAAACAGCTTGTAAAAGCAAAAACACAATGTATACACATATAAAACTGATTTTTTTTTTTCTTATATACTTTGCTCAGGTGGAGAACAAAGTATGAAAGCCATTATATGGTGTCCCTTGGGGACCATCCCATAAGTCCAGGGTGTTCCCAATATACCCACAAGACAATGTGTTCAAAACTTCATCACCTGATCCCCACAAACCTACCACCCTCTTGCATTCCTTCACTCTGGTAAAAGCAAGCCGTCTTCTCCAGTTGTCCAAGGCAGAAGCCCTGGAGTGGGCCCAAATGCCACTTTTTCCCTTGCTTCTGACTTCTTATCAATCCTGTTAGAACTGCTGACTGCACCCCACATCTCTCCTCCATCCCCATGATCACTGCCTTTGTATGAACTTCCTTTCCTGTCCGCTGCACTTTCAGTGGCTTCCTTTTTTGCTCACCTATCCACTTCCTTTCCCTTCCCTCTCTCCATCCCCCTTTTTTCCCTCCGTATAGTCATCAGAAAGATCATCAAAACAGGCAAATGTGACCGTATCATTTCCCTCACTTATCTTTGTATGCAGCTTAGAGTGGTTTTTAAGAGCACGCACTTTGAAATTAGAAGAACCTGTGTCTGAATCCTGATTTTGCCATTTGTGTGACTTGTCAGGTTATTTAATCTCTTGGAGCCTGTCCCTCCTCAGTGAAATAGGAATAATAATACCTACCTCATAGAGTTGTTGTGAGGATTCAGTGAGATAGACTGTTTCTAAAGTGTGTAGCACAGTGCCTGGCACATAGTGGGTGCTCACATTGGAGCACACTATTGTCCCTATCCCTGCAGGTGTGAGTTTTACATCCCTTCCAAGAGGCATTTGCTAATAACCCTAACTACCGCCTATCCCTGTGACACTACTTTCTGCCTCAGCACCTAGTTTATTTTCCTTGTAGACATTTTCTAAATCTGTATTTTATTTATTTGTTTGCTTTTTGTCTATTTCTCTACTAGAATGTAAGCTCCATGAGAGCAAGGATGTGCTTGTCTGATGTCCTGTTTACAGCCCCAGCACTTAGCTGAGTGTCTGGCACCTAGTAAGCACTCAGTAAATGTTTGCTTAATAAATGGAAGAATGGTCAAAAGGCTCTTCATGATCTGACCCCTGCTTTTCTGTCTGGCCTCATCCTGCCACTATCTTCATTGCTCCTTCAGCTCAAGAAAAACCTCTTTACTTGCTTCTTTGAGGTGCCCCTTGGGCTTCCGTGTCTTTGTACCTGTTGTTCCCTTTGCCTGAAACACCCTTGGCCTGCCTGTCTACATGGTGAGTTCCTAATCATTGGTGAAGTCTCAGCTCAATGGCTACCTCCTCTGTGAAGCTGTCCCTGATTTCTCCAGGCGGATGTACTTTCCCCCTTCCCAGTTCCCACTGCACTTTGTAAATACCTCCATGGAAGCACTTTATTGTATTGTATTGTAATTTTTTTTGCATGTCTGTTTCTACTATTAGACTGTAAGCACCGTGAAAGCAGAGATTGTGTTTTTTTAATCCTGATGTTCCCAGAGCCTAGCCCAGTGCCTGGCACATAATAGCTTGTCATTAAATATTTGTCGAATGAATCTGTGATTGAACAAAGAGTCCTGCAGTTGGAAAGTGTTAGAAGCTGTATGTATTATAAAGGAAAGAAATGCCCTTGGTGGCTTCCAGAGTTTTGTTTTGTTTTGTTTTGTTTTGTTTTGTTTTTTTGGTCTACAAAGGAGATCTAGAGAGTGTTATACAGTCTATTTGAATATAAGATTACTTGTTTGGATTTAAAAAATAATATAAATCTTCATAAATAATTGCAAAGATATAAAAAAGCTTTGTGATCTCTCAAATGCTATGAAGTCCAAAATAAATATTTGCACTATTAGTATTTCCATAGTAAATGCTATGAGAAAATGTACAGCAATAAATTTTGAAGCTTTAAAAACATTTGTGTAAGTCATCTTCAATGACTTAATTCATGAAGGACATCTCTGGATCATGTTTCTTGGGCACAGGGGACATCTGACTGCGGGGGTGAGGTCCCAAAGTTCACAGTGTGGCAGGGAACACCAGTCAGTTACAACCTAATTAGCTCGGAGTAGCTGTGGATTTGGACTTGGAGCAGCAGCTTGTCAAAATGAATGTCTCAAAGGGTCTGGAGTAGACTTTAAAATTTCAGTTTGCATGCTGGTTTTCTCTACAAGGGCACATGCAAATTTTATGGGAAAATAGTTAATTTTTTTCAATTATTTGACTTTTAATGATGGGAAAACAAAAAGTTTTTTATTTTCTCACATTTATATAGCATTTTATAATTTATGGAGCACTTGCACCTCCATTAATGTCATCTTTGGATTTTAATCACATGTAAGCCATGTAATATGTACATAGTCTTCTTATCTTCATTTATGAGTTAAGGAATCTAAGACCCAGACAAATTAAATGACTTATCCTAGCCAATAAGATCCAGAGAGGGAAATTTGAATGTAGAGGTTTTCTGTTTCTAGAACGCCATGCAACCTCCAGTGCTGTTCTCTACTCAAGTCTTAAGCTGACAAAAAGCAACACAGTTTAGTTTAATAAGTACAGTATGACTGTGGCCTGAGGGCAGAGTGATTCTTCCTAGGAAATCTGGTTCTTTTGTGAGTGACCAAAGCTTTTCTAGTAAACTGCCCTGCTGAGAAATCTTTACTAGGATTATTTCTCTTACAAAAGAGGTGAGACTAGGTAAAGCTTCTTAATCACAGAATGTTGGGAATTATTTTTATCTGCTGGTTAGCATTTTCTTCGTAGTACTTTCGGTTTTTTGCCTCATAAACTTGATGCTCTGAGAAGTCTGGCAGCAAGATGCAACTGGACTGTAGGCCCTGGGGCAAGAGTCCCCAACCTTTTTGGCACCAGGGACTGGTTTCACGGAAGACAATTTTCCCACAAACCAGGGTAGGGAGAGGTGATGGATTTTAGATGAAAGTGTTCCACCTCAGATCATCAGGCATCAGATTCCCATAAGGAGTGTGCAGCCTAGATCCCTCACATGTGCAGTTCACAATAGAGTTCATGAGTCGATGAGAATCTAAAGCCGCGGCTGATCTGAGAGGAGGCAGAGCTCAGGCATAAATGCTCGCTCAGCTGCTCACCTGCTCACCTGCTAACCTCCTGCTGTGTGGCCGGCTTCCTAACAGGCTGAAGATCAGTACCAGTCTGCTGCCACCTGGGAGTTGGGGCCTCTGATGTAGGGATGTGTAAAACCATTCACAGGGAGTGGGAAAATAGTTGACCTTTTAATATTTGTTTTTGGAAAATAACTGACCTTTTAATATTTTTATCTAATATTTTTGTGATTCTAATTTTTGAGTGTTTTCTTATAAACGTATTAGTAGAATAGTACACATATATAATTTGTAAGTAAATATCCATACATTTGGAAATATGTGTTTGTTTTGGAAATGATGTATTGGCAAAGGAGTTTTGAGACCACCACTCCAGTGCAGGACTCCTCATCAGGGGTCCATATTCCCCTGGAGTCAAGGAGCCTGTCAGACTCTTGCCATTACATACACAATTTTATGACAATGTGCCTTTCCCCTGGGGTAGTATTAATAGCTTTTGTAAAATTCTCAATGGGGAATGTATATCCAAGAATGAGCCACCGAGGGCTGGTCTAGTGATTTCACTCCACTCTTGAGGCAGGATGGCT